AGAGCGGTTTCATCAGGGAGGCTCACTATCCTAGATGGGTCTCAAACCCTGTCCTAGTGATCAAACCTAATGGAAAGTGGAGAACGTGCATTGATTTCAGTGACCTAAACAAGACCTGCTTGAAAGATGGTTTCTCTCTCCCTCGAATAGATCAGCTGGTCAACGCTACTGCTACAAGGTAATGTCCTTTGGCTTGAAGAATGTAGGGGCAACATACCAAAGGCTGGTAAACAAAATATTTGCTAGCCAGATTGGGAAGATGTAGAGGTTTACGTTGATGACATGTTGATAAAGAGCATGAAGGCTGGGTAACACGTTTCGCTCTTAGGGGAGATGTTTAATGTGTTGAGAAGATACCGCATGCAGCTAAATCCCCTAAAGTGTGCTTTTGGGGTTGGATCTGAAAAATTTCTTGGGTTCATGGCCAGTAACAGAGGAATAGAGACCAACCTAGAAAAAATAAAAACCTTGCAGGATATGAGGTCTCCCACAAGGTCAAAGGAGGTACAGAAGTTGACGGGGTGTATCGCCGCTCTCAACAGGTTCATATCTAAGGCGACAGACAAGTGTGCGCCCTTCTTTGACACCATAATGGGTAATAAGCGGTTTAAGTAGACCTCGCTGTCATCATCTTCGACCAGGCGGTCGACGCTGTCAGCATCATCCCTTGGATCGGCCGCGTAGTTGTCAACTTCTCGCAAGATGAAATCGTCGTTCGATGAGGAGAAGGTCCACAAAGGTTCGGCGGTGGAGGGAGAATCCGGCCTCACAGTGGATGAAGAAGGACCCTCTCGACGACTAGATGGTTTGACGGCCATTGTTCCGATAAAAAAAAAAGAAGGAAAAAAGGGAAAAATAAGAATACAAGTTAAAATCCTAAGTCGAGAGGGTAAGAAGGGAAACAAGCAGACGACAATCGCCTAAGACTGCAAGAAACTACCCAAGGCGGGTGAGCGTCGTCGACTCATCAAGTCGTCGATCATTCACAAGAAGCATAACGACGAATGTTCAAGCAGAACCCAGATTTCCTAGCCAAACACCTAAAACCCAGAACCAAAAACTCTCTACAGTTGGCCAATAACCGAGAAAACTAGCCTATAAGAGTCCAGATGATACGTGAAGTAAGTTTTTAGATTCCTAATCACCAATTTCAACCCTTAATCGTGCCAAAATCCAACAAGAACCAAACAAGGGAAGCCAAAAATACTGGGAATAGAAATAAAGTGTTCCAACATAAAGCGAACTACACAGAAAAGAGAATCGCAATGAGAAGACTCACTAGAGGATTGAAAGATGGTGAAATCTGAAGCTTTGACTGGAGAAAACCTCGCAAAACACCGAAGGAATGAAAGAATTGGAGGGTTTTGGGAAAGTCTGAGCAGAGAAATAACAGTTTTCAGAAATTTGGGTGGAAATAACTTTGGTTTGAAATCGCATTATAAAGGGGGACAAACCCTCGACTCTTGACCGTTGGATGGAATCCTAGTGAATCCAGTGGCAAAGGTGAACAGTCATAATCGAACGGTGAAAGCATTGATGGGAAACTGGAGAGACGCGATCTGACGGTTCAGAATCTCCTATTCAAAACGAGAAACGTCAGCGAAATGATGAGCTGAATTGACATGACTGTTAGCCTTCCCAAGAAGCCGCCTTAATGTTAGTCATTATTGCCTAGGGGTACCTGTTGCAATATATTTGACTACGCTTGCAAGTGCACAAGTCGTACAAGTAATAAAGTGGTCCGAAGACCGATATCGTCCCACGAGGATTGACGTTAAGAATATAAACTAACTATTGTGAATATCATATCTTAACTTTATCTAAGCGATCAAATTTGGATGTGATAAACTCAAAGAAAAACTAAAATAAAGGAAAACTAAGTCAAAAGGAAAGATGGCAGTAATTAATAATACGTGCTGAAAGTAGAACGGAAAATCAATATGATGAAAATGCTAGGGTCTTGACTTCACTCTATTGCGATTATGTTTCTCCGTGGTAATGTGCCTAACCTAACTCTACGTTCTCAAGAACCTAGAGTGATGTGTATCCTTATCCCCTCTCTCGAGTGCCGCATAAAGAATGTGTAGGTAATTTCAAGCCTATATCTCTATACAACTATTCATCCCTACCTTCATTAAGTTCCACTCTAGAAACAATTCCTGGAATTCCACTTCTCCATTTCACAACCTAAAATTGTTTTGGTTACCTAGGCAATGTTTATCTCTCGATCTCACACCAACCTAAGTTGTTCTATCCGTTTCTTGATTGCTTGAACGTTCCCCTCTCGAGTATTAATCCTCACAATAAAAATCTGCCCAATTCAAAATCTCATAAACCATGGCAATATGTAAATCATAGATTTAACAGCAATAATTCAAAATAGAACATGAAAGAAACGAAGAGCTTTAATTAAATGCACATTAAAACGTCGAAACAATAATCACAAATAGAGATTCATCTAAACCCTAACAAATAAGAAAATTAGCCACACATCATGTGGCTCTCAGTGTCAAAATAATATTCAAAATCTAGAGAAATACAAGAAGAAAGAGAAGAAAGAATGCTTGGAATTCTTGAAGAACTGCTCCAATCTCCAATCCTCTCCGATTCAGTTTTTCTCCTTTTGAAAACCCTTTTTCTCCTCCTTTTTACAGTTTTTAGTCTCTCCTTTTATATCCCACGTTCAGCACGCCTCCCAAGAAGCCAAATTGTTTTCCATAAAAATCTCCACCCCTAACCTAGGGCAAAACGCGTGTTTTTAATAAAATCGGGATGTGACATATCGCAGCTCTCTCTGTTATCTGTGCACCAGACTAGGGCAGGTGGCAAATCAGGCGACATATCGCCTAGAAGGAAGCGACATATCGCCTGGAGGCGGCGACATATCGCCTGGAAGGAAGCGACATGTCGCAACTCTCGCTGTTTCTTCGTACAAGTTTGCTCAATTTTTGCTCCTTTTCAAGCCGCATCGCCATCAGAAGGCGACGTATCGCCTCATTCTCTGTCTTTTTGATCCAAAATGCCTCAAAACTCAGCGATTTCATCCATTACTGCACACTCAAGGGAAAATCATCAAATCCACATAAAAACTTAAGGAAAAACATGCCGAAACTAGCTAAAGGAGTAATGAATGAGTGCATAAATTACGCACTCATCAGTAATAGACTAGGCACCATCCTTAACAGGACATCAAACATGCGAAGACTCCAAACATGGATTGCCTATGAAGGTCGATGCAACCTGAGAGGTAGCCTCGACTTGGGGGGCAAATGTTGTGGGGTAAAACCTTAAACCCCACATGAGGCAATGGCTGGGCGCAACGTGGCGCAATTAAAGCATAAAATAATTGAGACAAGAAGGTACGGAATGGTAGTAGAGTGCACTTCATGAGCGTTGACCTGTAACGATTAAATGACTCCGCTGAAGGGGTCGACTAGAGGAAACGAAGGTCACGACATGGAGACGAATGCTTTACTAGCCATGGGCGAAGATCACTTCCAAAGAGCTAAAGGCGACGAACCCATCCACGTCCAGACTGAAGTGACAACTGTACAAAGATTTGATGTGCATTAAATGCATGCAAAGTAGGTGGCGAAGCCGGTGGAGAAAATCAGGCAGATTGGTTGAAATCTTGGTGATCAGAGACTACTGTTCCGGAGTTTGATGAAGATATCACGGGATTTGATTAAATAATTGATAATGGACATAGGCAATATTGACATAGGTAATAATGGACTGGTTGAAATCTCGGTGCTCTCAGTGAGCTGTGTTCCATCCCGTTCACCTCCATCGCGTTCGCCGTTCTCTTCCACCACCACCGACTGAACCATCGACGACCCAGCAACCTCCGTCAGCTTCATTTTCTCGGATGCATTCTTGTGGCGCAGCAGCTCTTGAAGCTTCCCTAGGACGCCCTCTAGAGATTGCTCGATCTTTGGAATCTTCTGCAAATCGACGTTGACCTTCCCACTCCTTCTGAGCCTCATTGCGACTTCCCTCAACCTTCTCGTCAGATTTCTTTGGCGGTGCCATCTAGAATTTTCTCTGATACCAACTTGATATGTTCGAGTCTCAAACCAGTAAAATAGCAAGTAACAAGGAAAATGATCGATCAAAGGAACTCTTAAGTGATTTCTCTTGAGCAACATAGCCAAGAAAATACAAGGATATGGGTTTTCAAATGACCCTTGCACTCCCTAGAGCTAATGATCGACTAGATACAGAAAACTCAGAGAATTGGTCGATGCCTATCATTGAGCCCTCCTACAAGTTTTATTCCATTTTCTCCTAACTGACCAACTGTTGTTTTAGAGGTGAATGATGAATTCTCTCATTGATCAAAAACATGTATGTACAGCACTATGTATACACAATGTCTCCGGTCACCCTAGGAACTAATTACACCAATTACTGATTACACACAGAATCCGGAAAGAAGAAAAATAGGAAACAAATAAGAAAAAACAGGAAACTAACTAATAGAGATATTGGGAATGATTCCAAATCTCTTTATTCCTAATTTACTTAATCAACTATTGTAGAATCCCTGAATATCCTAACCGATTATTTCTACACTAGCACTTCTCCCAATGCAATCACGCAAATCCCACATCCAAGCAACCTTCCATGCTCATTCCATTTCCAGCTCAGCAGTGATGATATCACCCGAACCTGCAGCTCCCTTCTCATCCAACTCAGCATCACACTCAGCAGCACACACCACATTTGCACTGCACTCAGTAGGTTCCACCTCACGCAGCCCTTCATTCCCTCTGTTTTTAGCATTCTTTCTCTTCTGAGCATAGGTAAAACGCAAAGGAGGCTTATCAGAAAATTTCTTAAACTGTGTCCCAAAGAAAAATTTTCCGTGATGAAATTAGGTTCTTTGATATTTGGATGTTTAATTTCATATATATTTTGTCTTGGATCTTTCTATTCATTTTTGTGGTTTTTTGGTAACCTAGGGATAATGGCTACCGGAGCAATAAATGTGGTAAGGGGTTCAAGGTCATCGATTGAGGAACTATTACATATATACAATCACTCCGAAAGGTTCGAAAAGATGTTTCCTTTCATTGAAAATTCTCGTTGTCTTTAGTAGATTCCCCCCGTGTCATAACATATATGCAAACTTTAAGCTTGGTTTTGTCTATAAAGATTTTTGTATAATACATAAACTCAACTAAAATCAATATATGGGCTTGATGTGATGCTTCTATTCACCATTATTTCTTTTCTCTCCAGACATTGAGAACTTTTGCACTGTAGCTATCGCAGCCTAAAATTGAAATTGGAATTGATTTCTCAAAAAGATGTACGGATTGACGGATTAGTGCAATCTGAAAGAGCCAATATGTCATTTATCTTCTAATTTTCATGCTTTGGGTGTATTTGTTGGTCCTGGTATATCTTTCCCATAAAAATGGTACCTGCTTATCTTCTTATTTCACTCTATAGAGTTTGTTGTAGCGCAACTTTTTAGTCCTTTCTCTGCTTTCACTTGAGTCTGGTTTTAATTCACTGAAAAAGTGAGATCACGCGTAATTTGTGCTGAAATGAATTTATATAACCTTTTTGCAACAAATTCAATGATATTTCTACTGGTTATGAGATTTTATTTATTAATTTTTATCATTATTATTATTATTATAATTATTTTTTTTTGATGAAGAGATCTAAGAGTTTAGTTTGGTAGATTTTTGCTTTCATATTACTTCAATCATAATGGAAATATGGGAAAACATTAATCGCTATTATTACTGCAGTGTTGGCCTCGCAGTCGACAATCCCGAGTTGTTCAATCGGATTTCGGAAGCTTTCCAGTCCAAGGCTAACATGCGATTTGTCATTCTTCTTTGGGGGGATAAATCTAGTTTGCCTAGTGGAGGGGTTAAAGGGAAACCTGTTTTTAATTACAAGGATATCATAAGCTTGGGACAAGAGAGTCGTAATGCTATCTCCAATTCTAATGATGTTAGTAAGTCAATCAGCTCGCTATATGTTTTTCACTATGTCTATTGCCATTTACAATGCTCTTGTGTTTGTTCTTGTGTTTGGAGTCTTGGTGTTCCTCTCATAAATTTTTTTGGTTTTGTTACATGTACAAGACTCATAGTTTTATTTGTTATTCAGGTGGGCCAATGTGTGAGGGATAACAAAAGCATGTCTCAGTACGAAGGAGATATAGAAGAGGATATTCAACATAGGATTAAGGCAGGGTAGGTTAAGTGGAAGAATGTTACGGGAGTTTTATGTGATAGCAAGATGCCTATTAAGTTGAAAGGAAAGTTTTATAGGACTGTAATCTGCCCAGCTATGTTATATGGTAGTGAATGTTGGGCCATTGAGAGACAACATATATCTAAGATGAGTGTGGCAGAAATGCGTATGTTAAGATGGATGAGTGGCCATATGAGAATGGATCGCATAAGGAATGAAGTTATTCGTAGTAAAATAGGTGTAGCACCAATAGAAGATAAGGTGCGCGAAGGCCGCTTGAGGTGGTACAGACATGTCCAACGTAGACCGCTAGAAGCACCAGTTTGTGCTTGGGAGGACATTCTTATACCTAATACTAGGAGAGGGAGGGGTAGACCAAGAATTACGTGGACCGAAGTTGTTAGGAAAGACAATCTAAATCTAGACCTTTAGGAAAGTTTAATTTCGAACAAAGTTGTGTGGAAAAGTGAAATTCATATAGCCGACCCCAATTATTTGGGATTAAAGCTTGGTGTTGTTGTTGTTGTTGTATTTTTTTAATATCAGCTTAACATGAATATGTAACTTCAGCTTGCAATCTTAGGGTGTAGCTTACCAAGAATCTTTTTTTTTCCCCCCTTTTGATAAGATGTTGTGTACTTTAACCTGATGAGGAATGGATTCGTGCACTCGGGTATTCTCGTCCATGTTGTTGCTTTTGTCTTTCTTTATTTCAATCATAGTATTAATACAAAAAAGTGCTTTGGGTGTTAGATTGTTGTATGTATTTTACATTCCTGGCTAGTTAATTATATTTTTATTTGTTGCTGCTATTTGCCATTACCACAAAGCATGAGCTATGCAACTTCTAATGCACCTATTCTTACTTCAGGAAAAAACTATGTTTATGAAGCCATAAACTCTGAAGATGTTGCTACTCTTGTTTATACTAGTGGAACAACTGGAAACCCAAAAGGCGTCATGCTTACACATCGCAATCTGTTGCACCAGGTTTGCTAATTATTTTTTCACTTTTTTCTTTTTAATATTCTGTTTGGCCTACGTTTAATATTTGGTGTTACTTGTCTTTGAAAATTGTTCTGCAGATAAGAAACTTATGGGATATAGTCCCTTGTGAAGCTGGCGATAAATTTCTCAGCATGCTTCCACCTTGGCATGCTTATGAACGAGCTGCAGAGTATTTCACTTTTACGTTTGGAGTTGAGCAGGTGTACACAACTGTGAGAAACTTGAAGGTATGATTTGCTTTTGCACATAGAAAACATTTTGGCATCAGTTTGATTAGAATAGGAAGAGTAGAAATAGCATCTTTTGTATTTGTTCTCTCCATGGACTGTCTTGGTGTATGATTCAGCATTGATATTTGGTAAAAGAACAAAACTACCTACTTATTTACTCCCCATTTTAGACAAACGTGTGCATACAGTATTTGGATGAATATACTCTTCATTATTTTCTTTTTTTTCTTCTTTTTTTTTTTTTTTTTTTTGGTGCTTGAATACATTTATTCATATATTGTTAATCATTTGATAGGAAGATTTGCGACATTATCAGCCAGAGTACATTATTTCAGTTCCTTTAGTATATGAGACACTGTACAGGTATGTTCATGTCTTAGCATTAATACTATTAATACTCTACTGCTATTTGGAAAAGTCAACATTTACATGTATATATTATTAAAAAACAAAATGATTAGAAGCCTATAGTAACACCAGTTAAGAAAATAACGGAGCGTGAAACTCAAAAGGCTACTGCTGCTATTACCCCCAATTGAAAATTTCATAATTAAAAACTTACTCATCGCGAAACTTAAAAAAATATGAACATTATTTAAATAGCTAGGTGAAAAGAAGTAACGTATAAAGTTGAGGCTCAACCAACTCAAATATTTGAGCAAAAAAAAAAGATGCCTACGGCTCTAAGAATCACTAGAATGTCAAAAATGTCGGAATATTTTCATCTTTAAGCTTGCTTTTCCTTAAGTTTCTTGCTGAACGTGACACTAGGTTTCCCTCTTTCAATAAATTTGTGAAGTCGCTACTTTGGCAGTTTGTATATAAAGGTATTTGGGAGAAAAGATGAAATTTCTTTATTTCACATATTCACTGATTTACACACATTCTTTCTCTTTAAATAGAGAAGAATTGAGAACCCTAATCACCCAAGGTGAGATCCCGGTGATTCTCTCCTAAAATAGAAAAGGAAACATAATTCTAATTGTCCTAGAACATACCTAATATAATTCTAGAAATCAGGAAACTAATGTACACTAAATGTCTACTAGAAATTCAAAGTTTTGTCTTGATAATCCCTTGGTCAAAGCATCAGCTACTTGTTGGGACGAAGGAACATAAGAAAGCTCCACTATTCTCTCATCAATCTTCTCTTTAATGAAATGTCTGTCAATCTCCACATGTTTGGTGCGATCATGGTGAACCGGATTCTGAGCTATACACAAAGCTGCTTGATTGTCGCAATAGACCTTTAAAGTTGATCTATTCTCAAACCTCAATTCTTCCAACACTCTTCTAATCTTAATAGCCTCACAGATTCCATGTGCTAGAGCTCTGAACTCAGCCTCTGCGCTGCTGCGAGCCACAACATTCTATTTCTTGCTTCTCCAAGTAACAAGATTTCCCCAAACCATAGTACAATAGCCAGATGTTGATCTTCTATCTTCAATTGAACCTGCCCAGTCAGCATCAATAAAAGCTTCAATGTGCCTTTTATTAGTCTTCCCAAAGAACAGGCCTTTGCCTGGTGTCATTTTAAGATATCTTAGAATCCGGTAGACTGCATTGAGATGTTTTTCATGAGGGGAGTGCATATATTGACTCACAACACTAACTGCAAATGCTATGTCAGGCCTGGTGTGGGATAAATAGATTAGTCTTCTAACCAGTCTTTGATATCTCCCCCTGTCTACAGGATCTTCTAACTTCTTTTTCTTACCAAGTCCATTCACTTCCACTGGTGTCTCGGATGGTCTTGCCCCTAGCATACCTGTTTCCTTTAAGAGGTCAATAGTGTATTTTCTCTGAGAAACAAAAATACCTTTTCGCGTGCAAGCCACTTCCATTCCCAGAAAGTATCTCAACTGTCCCAAATCCTTAACTTCGAATTCTTTAGCCAGCCCTTTTTTAACTCAAATAACTCCATAAGATTGTCTCCTATTAGAATGATATCATCCACATAAACTATCAAAATTGAAACCTTACCACCAGAGTGTTTGTAAAATAGGGTATGATCAGCTTGTCCCTGTGTGAAGCCAAAACTCCTAACTGCCTTAGTAAATCGATCAAACCATGCTCTAGGGACTGTTTCAGTCCATAGAGAGAGTTCTCCAATCTGCACACCTTATTACAACCAAACTCTCCCTCGAAACCTGGAGGTAAATTCATATACACTTCTTCTTCAAGAGTTCCATTCAAAAATGCGTTTTTTACATCCAGCTGATGCAGAGGCCAGTCGAGATTAGCAGCCAGTGAGAGTAGGATTCTGATCGTGTTGAGTTTGGCAACTGGTGCAAAAGTCTCGTTATAATCAACTCCAAAGGTTTGTGTGAAACCCTTCGCTACCAATCTTGCCTTATACCTTTCTACCGAACCATTTGACTTATGTTTGATGGTAAACACCCATTTGCAACCAACTGGACATTTCCCTTTAGGCAGCTCAACAACTGTCCACGTGCCATTCCTTTTTAAGGCCTCCATTTCTTCTAAAACAGCCTTCCTCCACAGTGGTTTTGTTAGCGCCTCATGAATACTTCTAGGGGTCTCTTCTTCAGAAATCCTCTCAGTCGCAGCTCAGAAAGCAGGAGATAGATGAGCGAATGACATGAAGTTGTAGAGAGGATGCTGAGTGCAAGTCCGTTTACCTTTTCGAAGAGCTATAGGAACATCAAGATCACTGACAGATTGCTCTAGCTCAACTGACTGACTTTCCTCCACACCAGATTCCTCAAAGACAAAACCTGTCTCAAACATTTGTGTGTTTACTTTCGGTTCAGGCTCTTGACAGTGCTCTGGAGTAGTGATAGGCTTCTGTTGTCTTTGAGATTGTCCACCCCGCCTAGAATAAACACGAAGTTCTTTCTGTGATTCCTTTTGTGGTTCATTTTGTGTGCTTTGCACATGTGATTCTACACTTGTTTCCAAATCATTAGATAGCACAATAGGTAACACATGGGTTTTAACAGGTGGGGACTCTGACTCCAATTATGACTCAATGGAAAAATCCCAAAGCTGCCTTCCACTGTCACTCTCCCTTTGAAGGGTAGATTTGGGGTAGTAAGCTCGATCTTTGAAAAAAGAAACATCCATGGATGTGTAAATTTTCCGTGTACTTGGACAGTAACACTTAAACCCTTTTTTATTTGGAGAGTAGCCCAAGAAAATACATTTGACAGCTCTAGGATCAAGTTTGCTCAACTGAGGTGACATTGAATGAACAAAAACAGTACACCCGAAAGTTTTGAGAGGAAGATTATGAAATAGGCGAGATTGAGGGTAAGACTGACGAAGAATGTTTAAAGGTGTTTGATACTGGAGGACACGAGATGGAAGACGATTGATTAGATAGGAAGATGTAAGAACTGCATTACCCCAGAAACATTTGGGAACATTATTAGTGAACATGACTGCACGAGCCATTTCGAGTAAGTGTCTGTTCTTGCGTTCTGCAACACCATTTTGTGGAGGGGTGTCAACACCAGAGCTTTGATGAATTATTCCATTTTCTGCTAGATACGGACTCAAAGTGTTATTAAAGTATTCTCGTCCATTATCTGTATGAAGAATTTGGATTTTTGTCTGAAATTGGGTTTCCACCATTTTATGAAATTGTTGAAAAATTAGTGCGGCATTTGACTTTTCTTTCAAGAGAAATACCCAACAAACTCGAGTGTGATCATCAATAAAGGTTATAAACCAGTGTGCACCAGATATATTACTTATTCTTGAAGGCCCCCAAACATTACTGTGAATGAGTGAAAAAGGTTTAGAGATTCTATAAATTTGTAAAGGATAGGAAACTTGAGTATGTTTTGCAAATTGACATGTTTCACACACAAACAAGTGAACATCTTTATTGACGAACAATGAAGGAAACAACTTTTTTAGATATAGGAAATTAGGATGACCAAGTCTATTGTGCCATAACATAATTTTATTGGAAACAGAAGCAGAATTACAACTCAAAGCTTGAACTTATTTATTCTCGGTAAGTGGAGAACCTTCAAATAGGTATATCCCATCACATTCCTTAGCACTGCCAATCGTTCTCCTCGAAAGTAAATCCTGAAACTCACACAAAGAATGAGAGAACTTAGCAGAACAATTCATTTCTCTTCTTAACTTCGCAATAGTCGGAATATATAACACAGAGTGCAACGTTATACAATCCGAAATCCACACTGTTCCTTTTCCTATTACGGATGCTAATGAGCCATCAGCAATTTTAATCTTTAGACCATCGTTACTAGTATTGAACTCTGAGAAAAGGCTCCTACAATTGGTCATGTGATCTGAAGCTCCTGAATCAAAAATCCAAACATCTTTGTACGTAGTTTTGGTTGTTAGAGCAAAGAGAAAATTACCCTTTTGTGCTACTGTTGCTGTTGGCCCTGTGGAGGGTGTTGTTGCCGGTGCTCCCTGTGATAAGAGCATTTGAAGCTGTTCTAACTGCTCTTTGCTGAATGCGGAGCCAGTGTTGTTTTCTGCGGTCTTTTCACCTCCTCCAGATGAGGCTGCAAAGCCTCTGTTTTCACCAGGTTGTCGCTGGCGCCAACGTTCTGTTGCTGGTTTCCAGTCCGGCAGCTTCCCATAATCTTCCAGCATGTGTCCTTTGTGTGTCCATTACGGCCTTGTTCACTTCGCGGATTCGAGTTTTCAATTCGAGCTGAGATGTGACATTTTCTGAGAGCTTTTTACTGTGACAAAAAAAGTTACATGTGACATTTTCTGAGAGCTTTTTACTGCAAAAACCTAGAACTGAAAACTCGAATCGGTAAAATGAACGAGGCCTACGTTTGCAGTGGTCACACCATGGTCTATCATTCCTCCTCTAGTTTCGGCTATCTCCACTGGAACTAGGATTTTTTCTAACCAATGCTGATTCTTGGTGTGGCGGTTCAATAGTAGGCTGCACGTTTTTCTCCTTTCGGCCAAGCATCACCCTTTGACGTGCTTCTTCATGTCTCACCTCTGTAAAGGCCTCCTTAATTTCGGGGAATGGTTTGAAACCGAGGACACGTCCACGAACTTCATCTAGTTCCTTGTTGAGTCCGAGTAGGAAGTCAAAAACATGTTCTTTGTCAAGCATCTTCTTGAATTTTGGCACTATCGGTACTTGTAATTCATTATAGTATTCGGTGACACTAAGATTACCTTGCCTCTTTTCTCTTAAGGCTGACTTTATTTCAAAGATTTGGGCTGAATTCCCAAGGTCCGAATACATCTCCTCTACCATCTCCCAAATCGCATTTGCTGTCTTGTAGTAAACGTATACTCGGCTAATGGAAGATTCCATTGAGTTTAACAGCCACGCCTTCACCATTGAGTCCTTCGATTTCCACTTCTTGTATGCCGGTTTCCCTGTTTCAGGCGGTTTTGCTTCTCCAGTCAAGTAATCTAGTCATCCCTTTCCATCAATAACAAGGATGACCGATTGGGACCATTCAACATAATTGGCTCCATTTAACTTATGTTGCGTGATCTGTAGTGAGTGACTATCACTGAGATTGATGATTTGCTGTGATCCTCCTTGGGAGTTCCGAGTTGTTGGTGAGATGTGCTCGCTGGTTGCATCGGAGGTGGCTTCACGAGAAGCCCCTATCATGGCGGTTTTCACCATGAGGAATAGAGTATTATTCCTGCTCTGATACCATAAAGGTATTTGGGAGAAAAGATGAAATTTCTTTATTTCACATATTCACTGATTTACACACATTCTCTCTCTTTAAATATAGAAGAATTGAGAACCCTAATCACCAAAGGTGAGATCCTGGTGATTCTCTCCTAAAATAGAAAAGGAAACATAATTCTAATTGTCCTAGAACATACCTAATATAATTCTAGAAACCAGGAAACTAATGTACACTAAATCAAATAAGGAAAGTAACCAGATTCCTCTCCAATCACTCGGATTTTTCCACAGCATAGATGGGAAATACAACATGCTCTCTTGCTAAGGTTCAGTTAGTGATTCGACCTCTAGTTGTTAAATGATATTAGAATTTGTTTCCATTCCTTTCTTCTACATTATGAATGAGTTTCTGAATTCCAAGAAAATCCATCTTATGTATGTTATAGGATATCATACCCCCAATCTGTAAGAATATTTTTTTTTTTTTAATTCTTTGTTTTTTTTTTTTTTTTTTGCAGTGGGATTGAAAAACAAATTTCTACGAGCTCCGCAGCTCGTAAGCTTATTGCACTTACATTTCTACAGGCCAGTATGACATACATGGAGTTCAAGAGGATCTATGAGGTTTCGATTGCTGAGCAGTTCATCTTTCTTAACTTATTCAGCATTTGTGCTTTCTAGATATTAAAAAATTGAAATCCACTTCCTACATTTATAACGCTTCATGTTTTATATGAAAAGATATTTTTTCCAAAGTATTTCGAGCAGAGGTTCTTTGCATAAGTTGCATTAGGTCTCACCTGTTTTTTTACACTTAAACTTTATATGGTTTCTAGTTAAGACTTGTAACTTAGATTCCTCCGAGTATAGCAATTCAAACGATCACGGTTTTGATCATAGGGAATGTATCTGACAAAGAACCAAAAGCAACCTTCGTATATCATCTCATTGTTGGACTGGTTATGGGCAAGAATAATTGCTGGACTTTTATGGCCGTTGCATGCATTAGCCAAAAACCTGGTCTACAGCAAAATCCACTCTGCCCTCGGGATATCAAAGGTACTTTTATATGCACGTGTTTTTTATAAGAAAAAGTCCTCATATCCTAACTATAATAAAGGAGTAGAAAAAGTTCCACTTTCACTCCATGGTTGTCATATGCGCACCGTTTTGGTGCTTGCCCAGTTTTTTTTATACTTCTTTTTCCTTTCTTTTTACCGTGCTTTTTTATATGTAAACTTAGAAGGAATGGAGAATATTTCTTTCTCTATTAACAAATGAATGAGTACAAGGTTCCTTTTAAGGAGTGGAATTACACTAAAAAAGGAAATAAAGAAATAAAACAGGAAACAAAAACACAATATTGACAACTGCGTATTTCCTAATTTCCATCATTGACTATCTATATTTACATTAGGCACACTACCTAGCATATCTCTAGGATCACAACAGAATCCTTAATTGACTGATTTCTGACACTCCCCCTCAAGCTGGTTTGAAGATGTCTTCCATAGCCAGCTTGCCAATTAGTTTATCAAATTTCTTCTTGTGTGGTCCCTTGGTTAACACATCAGCGTTTTGTTGTTGGAAGATACGGCATGCAGATTATTGCACCATCGAGCTTCTCCTTGATGAAATGTTTATCCACCTCTATATGTTTTGTTTGATCATGTAGAACTGTATTATGAGCAATAGATATAGCAGCCTTGTTGTCACATTAGACCCTTATAGGTGCCAAATGAGAAAACTTCATCTCCTCAAGGATCCTTTTGATCCACATTACCTCACAGATTCCATGGGCAATAGCTCTGAATTATGCTTCTGCACTACTTCTGGCTACAATATTTTGTTTTTTGTTCCGCCAAGTAACTAAGTTTCCCCCAACAAAGGAACAATAGCCCGAAATGGATCTTCTACCTGTAACACTTCCTACCCAGTCTGCATCAGTGTAGACTTCAATTTGTAGGTGACCATGTTTCTTGAACAGTAGGCCTCTCCCTGGAGTTCCTTTCAGATATCTCAGGATCCTATAGACAACCTCGAAATGCTCTAGTCCTAGTGAGTGCATGAACTAACTTACCATGCTAACTGCAAAAGCAATATCAGGGTGTGTGTTAGGATCCGTTACTGACTTGGGAACTTGTTTGGTTAGTGAGATGGTATAGTTAGTAGGAATTAGTATAAATAAAGGGCTTAGTAGCTCACTAGAGGTATGTTGTGATTTGGAGAGTTTTGAGAAACTGAGATTAGGGAGAGCGGTGGTCTCTCGAATACCACTAAATTAAGAGTTGCCGGAGTACTCGAATTCTCCGTTCTATCCTTTACATTTCAGTGTAATTTGATGTTCTTGGCTGATTAGATTAATAAAATTCTTTCTAATTATTCTCATTTTCTTATTGTTTCTGGTGTGTGTGAGTGTGGTATTGGTGTTTTGGCTGATTTTCTGAGTTAGGATCCTAACAATGGTATTAGAGCATCTACGATCCATAGAGCTTTTTGAGTTAAGAGAGAAACTTAGGGCTATTCTGAGAGGTAATCTCAAGGTTTCTGGAGGGAGTATCGGGGGGCTCCGGGACCAGGTGGGGAAGGTTCGAACTTAGATGGAAGACATGCAGGCGGTGCTGCGGAGGATGGAGGCACTGCTGGCGGCGCGGCCGATGGCCGGGAAGGCCGAGTTGGGTCGCGACGGCGAACGACGGGACGGGGAGAGGCGAGATCGCGCGCCTCAGGGCGAGGAGAGCCCAAATCGCGTCGACCCAGGCGGAGTGGAGGTGCCAAATCGGGCGGATCTTCGCCGGGAAGCGCCGATTCGCGAAGATCGAGGCCGCGAGAGGGAGTTCCGATGCCGGAGAGACGTTGGTCTCATGAAGGAGCGCGAGATCTGTCGCGATCTGGGGCTGGGTGGTCTGGATCTGCAGCGTGAGGGGTTGTTCGACGACGGGAGGAGGGCGGACGGAGGTTGCGACCGTCGGGAGAGGGCGGCGGAGCTTGTTCGGCGACGGGAATCGGAATGGGAGCCGGAGTCAGAGGAGGAGAAGCTTGCTCCGGGGCTGGGACGGCATGGGTACCCTCAGAACAGAGAACCCATCCTTGTTTTGGTCGCGGTTGGGGCTGATTCCGGACCGATTTGGACTGGGCCTTGCGATTCCGGCGTGAAAGGGGCTGATTCCGGTGCTACGGAGACAGACTCCGGCGCGACGGAGGCTGGGCTCGACGATTTGGCTGCTGTTTGGATAGGGCCTTACGATTCCGGCGTGAAAGGGGTTGATTCCGGTGTACTTGGGGCTAGTTCTGACGCCATGAAGGCTGGGATTTGCAATTCTGACGCTATTAAGATCAATTCTGGCGATTTGGGGGCTGGGTCTCTCGATGGGAGGGCTGGGACTTGGAATCCAAGTGTCATGAGGGATGATTTTGGAGCAATTAGAATTGGGTCTTGGAATTCTAGCGTGATTGGGGCTGATTTCCGCGCAATTGGGGCTGATTTCCGTGCAATTGGGGCTGGGCTTCGTGATTATGGTGCGATTAGGGCATATTCTGGCGAGCCAAGGGCTAGGTTTCTCAAATCCGGCGTGATTTGGGTTGGTTCCGATGCCGTTAAGGCTGGGCTGCACACTTCCAACGCGATTAAGGACAATTCCAGTGACATTTGGACTGGGTCTTCTTATTTCGGTTTGATTGGGGTCGGATCTACAAAGAGCGGGGGGGCAGAAGGGGGGTTGAATGGAATTGGCGTGATAGGAATCAGAAAGAAGTGGAGACACACGGCTGCGATTACTTAACACCTTGAGGACAAGGTGTTTCTTTGGGGCAGGGGTAATGTTAGGATCCGTTAATGACTTGGGAACTTGTTTGGTTAGTGAGATGGTATAGTTAGTAGGAATTAGTATAAATAAAGGGCTTGGTAGCTCACTAGAGGTATGTTATGATTTGGAGAGTTTTGAGAAACTGAGATTAGGGAGAGCGGTGGTCTCTCGAATAACACTAAATTAGGAGTTCCTGGAGTACTCGAATTCTCCGTTCTATCCTTTACATTTCAGTGTAATTTGGTGTTCTTGGCTGATTAGATTAATAAAATTCCCTCTAATTATTCTCATTTTCTTGCTGTTTCTGGTGTGTGTGAGTGTGGTATTGGTGTTTGGCTGATTTTCTGAGCTAGGATCCTAACAGTGTGTATGAGACAAGTAGATTAACCTGTCCACGAGTCTCTGATATTGTTCCCTATCCTTCACTTATTCAGCCTTGGCAGCTTGCAACTTCAAATTAGGCTCAATAGGAGTCTCGGCCACCCTGCAACCGAGTAAGCCTATTTCTCCAAGTAGATCAAGTACATATTTCCTCTGGTTAACAAAAATACCTTCTTTGGATCTTGCAAACTCCATTCCCAGAAAGTATCTTAAATTTCCTAGGTCTTTAATTTGGAACTCCTTAGCAACTCTCGTTTTGAGGGCATTAGTTTTGTTTCATCATTACCAGTTAGGATAACATCATCAACATAAATAATCAAAATTGCAACTTTTACCAATTTTTGAGTGCTTATAAAATATAGTGTGATCTGCCTGACTCTGAAGGAAGCCATAACTAGTAACAACCTTTCCAAAGCGTTCAAACCACGCTCTTGGTGACTGTTTAAGTCCATACAGGAACTTCTTCAATCTACAGACTATCACTCCCAAGTTTCTTTTCAAATCTTGGTGGTAGACTCATGAACACCTCCTCTTCAAGGTCACCATTGAGAAAAGCATTCTTGACATCAAGTTGATGCAGAGTCCAATCAGCATTCACTACAAGAGATAACAAAACTCTGATGGAGTTTATTTTAGCAACAGGAGCAAAGGTTTCCTAGTAATCAATCCCATAAGTCTGGGTAAAGCCTTTAGCCACCAATCTAGCTTTGTACCTCTCAACACTCCCATCGGCTTTACATTTTATAGTAAACATCCATCTACACCCTATTGTTTTCTTGTTTCTAGGCAGATCAACAATCTCCCAAGTACCACTTCTCCTTAGAGCATTCATCTCCTCCTTTACCGCTAACTTCCAATTCGGATCATCCAATGCTTCCTGTATATTCTTTGGAACAAACAAGTGTGAAATCCTAGATGTGAAGGCGTTATGATCTTTTGACAGTTTGTGGTAGGAGAGATATTTAGCAACAAGATGTTTAGGGCAACTGTGGATACGTTTCCTAATTGCTATAGGAACATCAAAATCATCAATAACAGGTGAATTATTAGGAATAGTTGAAGGAGTTAGAGTAGGAATACCTGAACTCACTGTGCCATTGCTCGGGTTTTCAGACTAGTTTTGTGCATGGTTGACATTCAAGTCTTTATTCTTTTAATGAGATCTCTTCCTAGTATAAACCTGAACTTCAGAATTCAAATCATGTTGATCATTTTATGGTACTTCTCCCCCTGTATGAGAAATCAATTCACTTGGCACCAAAAGACACGGTTCTCTTAGGTGACTATTATCTGTAACATTTGATTCTTGTGTAGAACAAATTACATTGGGAAGTGGGGCAGAAATATCCCAAAAATTATCTTCTGTTTTGTCTTTTGGTGACTATTATTTGTAACATTTGATTTCTGTGTAGAACAAATTGTGGAAAACCGGTGTAAATAGGGCTGATTTGTACAGCTGTATTCTTTCCTTATTTAATTAGTTTCCTGATTTCTCTCTAATTACTAGATAGGTAGTTACCAAGTTCGTTATCTAGGGTGCTGAAAATAAGGGGCTAAAACCGGTCTGTGGTTATCCCTAAACTTGTATATATGTCCGGCTGTATAGAGTATTTTTTCAAGGTGAATAATAATCATATTCCTCCTAAATCCTAATTCCGGCTGTCATAAAACTTCACAAATGACATTGGCAAGTGGGGTAAAAATATCCTAAAAATTATCTTATATTTCATGTTTCTCCCCCTGAAGAGAATTTTGGATGAAGAAGGGTTGTTTTTCAAGAAAAGTAACATCCATACTCATTTCTTGGTTTGAGGATCATAACACTTATAACCTTTTTTGTTAGAAGCATATCCCAAAAAAACACACTTTACA